TGGAGCCTGGAGGCCCTGGAGAGGCCTTTGCTAGCCTTCAGATTAAAACTCGGTGCACTTTGAATCCCCCGGTCCTTATTCTGAACTAAATTGCACATCAGAAGTATAATTTTATGTATCTTTAGTGTTTTTTGGCCAAATTCCACTACAAATTCAGGTCAAGGGGTACAACAGAAGAAAAAAATCGTGGGGAACACCGGAGGGGGTCACATGTCGCGAGTGTAAATCATAAATACGTTTGCCCAATAATAATCGCTTTAGTGCGATCTTCGGGAAATCCCAACTTATTTTCAACAGTGTGCCCCTTATTAAATCAACCAAGTGGACACTACCCCCTCCCCCGCGTTAGCCTTAATCCGTGATAATCCGTTCCTGCATTAATTTGTACCCTAAATGTTACAGACCAAGAAACGCTCCAACTCTTCTGTGCGTACGAGGAAGAGCTGCTGCTGTGGGCTTACCAGCAGATAAGCGACCTCAACGTTCCGGCAAACACGAGGAACGAGTTAAGGAACCTTGCAATGCTGCGCCACGACCGTCGTGTTGCCCACCAAACCTTCCGAATGCAAATGCACGATTGGTCGCGGGAGGTGTAAGTCGATCACCTCTACGAGCGCAAAGAGGATGCGTTAGCTAAGTTTTTTCGAAGATATTGTCGTGTTGGTGGGTTGGGGTGATCAGGACAAGTCAGGGTTTGAATCAACGGTTTATTGGTAGTCAGCACAGGCTCGCACTGGCGAGCGGCTGGGCCCTCTGCGCCGGGGCGGTGCGGGACCGCGGCTCTTATAGGCCCCCGACAATGGGACCCGAGGCGTGGGCCCGAGCGGGGCCCGAGTCCAGAGCTGCCGAAGGAGGACGCTGGGTGCCAGCTACACTACACTTCCCCCCTCGTCACCAAAGAGGTCGCCGACCTCCATCTCCATGTCACCCAGCTCCAGGTCTCCAAGGGACAGGGCCGGCGACAGTCGCGACATGGGTGTAGTGCAGCCGGCGCTGCTCAGCATTAGCTCCGGGGCGGGCAGCGGCGACGAAGGCCTCAGCGGCGGCGCGCGGCGCGCGTGCGGCAGGAGGCTAACCGAGCCTCTCGCGGACAGGACGGCGCGCAGGCCTCTCGTCGGGGCGTCGGGGGGAGCGCCGTCGGGCGCTCGACCGCACCGTAAATGTGTAAGGTACAAGAGCGTACGATTTTAAGGTAGGGCAGAACCGATGTACGTTAAGTAAGGTACGGGATTCCCGTACCTTACGGCTAAGGTACGGGCGTGCGGGCCCGGCGGGCGCTCCCCCCACCACGCTCTCCCCACCACACTGCGCTGAGTGTTGCCTACCCAGCACGGCGCCCCCGTTCGGTTCGCCTGTACGATACGTGGTCCTGCGTTGTTGAGTGTTGCCTACCCAGCACGGCTCCTCCGTTCGGTACACCCGTACGATACGTGGCCCTGCGCTGTTGAGTGTTGCCTACCCAGCACGGCTCCTCCGTTCGGTACACCCGTACGATACGTGGCCCTGCGCCGTTGAGTGTTGCCTACCCAGCACGGCGTTCTCTGCCAGAGCAGAGTGTAATGTTTTTTATCGCTAAATAAAGTAAAATATCAGGTCAGAGTAAATCGAAAGGTGATGTCACAATGTTAAAAACGAGGCGAAGCCAAATCTGCTATCCGTTTTAACCTAGCTCAAGCCGTTTAAGAGTTACCAGAAAAATTTGCTTCGATTTCAATGAAATTAAAATGGCCCTACTAAAATAGAGTGTAGATGTCCTAAATAAAATTTGAGGTCAAAATTCCTAAAACTTCCAGAGTTACAGCATG